CAGTCAGAATGTCCAAATGAATCAACTTTAACTGAATCTGCCAAGGCCTCTGTCGCTTCTGCAACGGAAGATGAACGATGCCAAGCTAAAGCTGATGTGGAATTTTGCCCAGTTTGTCAAGAGAAGCTCAGAGGCCAAAAGATGGTATTCCAATGTGGGCATGTTATTTGTTGTAAATGTAAGTTTTGTTTCCTGAAATTTCTGGTGTGGTAGAATTCTGTGTCAAAACCATCTTCATGTTTCCATGGATGAAAATAGCCGAAGTATTATTGGCTTTGGTAGTTCTCCCCATCCGTCCGTCCGTCCACACCCCCCCCCCCCCCCCCCCCCCCCCCCAAAAAAACTGAAAAAAACTCCTTTATGGGTTGCACATATAGCTTTCTTTTCTGAAAATGCATGGATAGCCTCATGTTAACGAATAAAATATCTTAGTGATGCATCTTCCACTTCTGCTTGCAGGTTTATTTGCAATCACTGAACAGAGATTTGTTCACCATGGAAATAAGTGGGTAATGTGCCCAACTTGCCGACAGCATACTGACTATGGAAATATAGCTTTTGCTGATGATAGACATAATGCCTCTGATGCATCTTCCATGCTGGCTTGTGCAAACTCTGAAACTTTAACAGTCCAAGGTTCATACAGTACAAAGGTGGTCTCCCTACTTCTGTGACCAATATAATTGCTTAAGTTTTGAATTGAATAATTAATCTGCGCTCCAACAATTTAGCGGCTGTTAGCAAATTATGCTTTTCCTGTGTCTACTGTCATCTGTCAACTTCAAAATGCTGGTAATCTTAAATTAATCTCTTTTTTCTTTTACCTTGTTTTGGATGGTTGTTGCAGATTGAAGCAGTGACAAGGAGAATTTTATCCATCAAATCCAAAGATCCAATAGCAAAGATTCTTGTTTTTACCAGTTGGAATGACGTTCTTGATGTGTTAGAGCATGCTTTTACAGCCAATAGTATCAGCTACATCCGGATGAAAGGAGGCAGGTACAATTTGTCACGGAGAATTCTGTCAAGTTTTGCCTTTATCAATTTGTTAAAAAAAATCATCATGCCACTCTATTTACATATGCTTAAATGAGTGAAAGTTCGGTTTGTCCTTGAAATCATGTTCCTGTAGAGGAATTTTGTCAGGTCTGTTGAGCAACTTCTATTTGCATCCACACAAACATTATCTGCAGCGACTCAAAATCTTTCTCATTAGATAGAGATTTTAACAAGAAAAATCTTGATGTTCTGTTTGTGCTAATTGACTTTGGTCATTCAATGACTGAAATCTCTTTGCTGATTCTTTTCTCAGAATTACTGGAAGAATGGGATATTTAGCTGCATCTCTTTTGTAATTCGAGATGGACGGAAGCTGTTTACAATTTAGTTTGGTCCTGTTGGAATATGTTTGGATGATTTCTATGTTTTGAAAACCTTTAATTTAGGTTTTTGTATCTGGGAGATAGAGGTAGAGGTCCTTGTATCTTATAGTCATTTGTCACTCATCAGATCTGCTTCCACCACAAATGACAATGACTGTGTGCTTGAGTAACCCACTGCTGTTCTTATTAAAACATAGAGCAACCATTGACAACGCATGGCACCTTTTTGCTTTTCACCTGTGTTTTCTGTAGCTCTTAAGAATTGTGTCTGAGACTCTTAATAGTTAGTTGGACAGCTAATTTTTATGCTAAGAACACCTGCGACACCATCAACCAATGAGTAGTTCCTCCTCTCACCCCCTGAAAACATCAGAAGGCATGGCTTTTTCTTTCTCCTGAACACGAAGTATGTCAAACTATTTTGACACTCCTGTGTGATTAATGCAAAAGCTTTTCCAAAGGAAGTATCTTTAAAATCTAGGAGGACTGACATCTTATGGTAATGGCTTTTGAGAATGATGTGTCTAGAAGTCTTTTAGCACTGAGGATCATTTGTTGCAAAACCTGTATGTAGCACTAAATGAACCAAAACTATTCAATTTGATGATTTTAGCTTAGTAATCTGCAAAAGACTAAGCAAAACTTGGCTGGTTGATTTTCTTGTGCTGAATTATATACCTCTCTTTAATGGCAAAAGTTGGATACACACTGCTGTACCTGAAATAATTGGAAACTGCTTGCTTATAGTAACTTGGCTTGGATGTTGTTATTATGGTTGCTTCTTAGGTTTAGAATATATATCATCTCAGTACAAAGTTCAAGCATTTTGTGGTGGCTCTGATCCTACAGGAAATCACATGTTGCCATAAGCCATTTCAGAGGGCAGAATAATGACATAAAAGGAAGTGGAAAGAGGAAGAAGAACGGGAAACCAGTAGATGATTTTGTTCAGGTGTTATTGCTCCTAGTCCAACATGGTGCCAATGGCCTCAATCTGTTGGAAGCTCAGCATGTCATTCTTGTGGAGCCGCTGCTCAACCCTGCAGCAGAAGCACAAGCAATAGGGAGGGTGCATCGAATTGGACAGGAGAACAAGACACTCGTTCATCGTTTTATAGTACGTTATGCCACTTACAAGTTGCTTTCTATGAAAGTTTACTGAATTTTGTTATGCTACCAACTGCATGAAAAGAAAAGTCATCCTTCTGTTCCATGCTATTTCTACGTGCTCTGTAGGATACTTGCTAATCCGTTGCATAATTGCTTTCTTTTTCCTTCTTGGACTTGGGTGCTAGGTTAAAGATACGGTAGAGGAGAGCATATACAAACTAAACAAGAGTAGGAATACAGGTTCTTTCGTGAGTGGAAACCGAAGAAACCAAGATCAGCCAGTTTTGACCTTGAGAGATGTGGAGTCCTTGTTCAGAGTAGTTCCATCTTCAGACATGGACGAAGAAAAGGCAAATGGGAGCTTGATGCACTTACCACCTTCCGTAGCTGCTGCTGTAGCTGCTGAGAGGAGGCTATTGGAGGGCAGAGCATGACGTGAGTGAGGCTCTCACTTGCAGGTTAATATTCATGCAACACGTAGCTAGGGGAGGGAGTTGAAAGGGCGTGTAACTGGAACATAATTTATCCTAGATTGTTCCGGACCAGTGGCCACTAAAAGCTGTTCTCCTGTTGTCTTGTTTATAATAGCTCGGAGAGCTTAAAATTAAATTAGGTAGTCCAGTGCGGACAATGCGAGCTTGTTGCTGTTAGTCAGTCCTCTCTAGAATTTTTTACCGACTTCACTGATTCTTGTGTATATTTAGTGTCTGGGAAGGTGAAATTGATGAAAAGAATTTTGTACAGCCTCGTGATTGATGATTAGTGGGAAAAACAAATGTAATGTGGTGTTATTTGAAGCGTATTTGGAGGAGCATGTAATCCTGTTTTATTGATTAATATTACCTTTATTTGTCCGATATTGTTAATGATTTTTTTTTTATCATCTGACGGTATGCACAACTTACGTTGCAGATTGAACGTGTCGAGTGTCAAAAACAATACCAATGGGAAATATTTCAGTCTGTGGAATCGTGATAGTACTAATATCTAAAGATTTAAAGCCAATTAAATTAGGTGAACAATGGGTGAGGACGGAAATAATGAAGCAAACAAAGTCCCATTCCAAGAAGATTTGTCCCAGTTACATCTTCAAAGGGTCGACCGTAACGTAAGTTCCTTTTTTTTTTTTGGTTTTTGGGGGGGGGGGGGGGGGGTCCTGAGCTAAGTGAACAAGAAAAAAATTGAAAAAAAATCGTACCTCTGCATACAAAAAAAAAAAAAATCATACCTCGACATACAACTAGGGGTGTGCAAAATCAAAAAATTTCGATTTGAATTCGGAATTTCAAATTCAGTAATTCGAAATGGAAATCGAAATATCCGATTTTGAATTGGTCGAATTCGGTAATGAGAATTTTCAAATCGGAAATTTCAATTTCGAATTCACAATTCGAAATCGAAATTCGGGATTCCTATTTCAATTTTAAATCTATTATTCGTATATATATAATATATTATATAACATTTATATTATAATAATAATTTTTTTATTCATGAATTCGGTGAAATCAGGATTCCTATTTCGATTTCAATTTCGTTTTCACACACATATATAATATTTTTTTTATATATATGTAATATAATATTTATATAATAATAATTTTTATATTCATGAATTCGGTAAAATCGAAATTTATCGAATTTCGAATTGAATTCGAAACGAATTCGGAATTGATGAATTCGAAATCGAAATCGGTCGAAAATTCTGATACCAAAATTTCAAAAAATTCCGATTTCAAAGTTCCGAATTACCGATTTCGATTTTGATTCACACCCCTACATATAACTCATAAGATTTGGCACACGCCAGGGATGGACAGGGATGATTAATGGCCATGATTTGGTCAAATATATATATATATATATATATATATATATATATATATATATATATATATATAAGGCTCCAATCACATCACATTTTGTACGTCGATCTTAGCATCACATGTAAAACTCATAAAATTTTGTTATACAATTACAATTTTTTGAAAGTAAATCACCTCTAGAACAAATGAGACCACACCTTGTTAAATCTAAAATAAAAAATCGTGATTTTGTTTGGATAAGAGTTTATTTAGATTATTTATTTGAGATAATTATTATAGCACTTTTTGTGTGTTGTGTGACGCGATATGTGCGAGATGAAAAGATAATTAGGAATAGTCCGCGCGGCACCCAATCCAAATTGCAGCAGAGCAGAGCAGACCAGGCCAGACCAAACTCAGCAAGAACCCAGAATCCGGGATCCGATTGATTGATTTAGCCACCGCTCCGCTATTCTCATGGATGATGTCACCAGACCAGCAATTTGCATACGCAAATCTCAATCTGGACAGCATCGCAACGTGTTGGGCCGCTCCTGGGAGCGCGTGCCAATCTCGTCCTTGTTTTCCGAGCCACTGGATTCTATCCTCACGTGTCACAAACCCCACATCCCGACCTAACCGTATATGTAAGTCCGGGCCTTCCTGCTTCCAATCTAAAGGCGGCCACTTTGCCAGCGCAACAATGACAGCCTTTACCTCCCACGTTGTCAAAGTCCACGATCTTTGTTCACCTTTGCTGATGCCGACGACGAGATCCAAATACACGGTTTCTTCGGGTTTAACATCAGCCGCGTGGTCTCAGCCTCATGGGGGGAGGTTGAGATTAGAGCAACCATGGCCAAATAGGCAGCTAGAGAAGGTGGTCGAGTGTGCCAAAGGGGGTTCAGCTTCAGCTTCGGCGTCGGAATGGGGAGATGAAATCGTAACAGAAGAAGAATTGATGGGTCTGGGGAAGTTGGGAGGCAAGTGCGAAGAGACCAGAGGAATTGCAGAGTTGTTGGAGTGCTTGGAAAGAGAAGCAATCATGGGGGAGGATGAAGGTAAAGAGCCCACTGATTACAATCGAAGGGCTCAGATTTTTCACAAGAGTTCTAGGGTTTTCCAGTCGCTTAAAGAAAGCAGCACCCCTCTTCCCTAGTTGTTCTTTTGATTTCTGGGGAAGGTAGCGGTACCCGACCAGGGCCTATAACTGGACGTCGAGTGTTAACTGTCTAAGCTAGTGTTTTAACTTTTTTAATCCTACAGTTTTTGTGTAATTGTATATCACAAATCATCATCAATCAACACATGTTGATTTTTTATTTTTTATTTTTTAACCCGCCTGATGAGATCAATCTCATGGTATCAAATTTATATTGGAAAATAGTAATTCGATGGAATACGTTTTATTAGAAGCACGGATTCCGTTCGAGATTCTATTATTAACAGAATATATCGATTAGAGCCACTTAAATTTTTTGTTTCTGACGAGAGACGCCGCAAAATCTCATGTTGAACTAAATGTTCGTTCGTTAGTTAGTTAGTCTGAGAGCACCAAAGTCCACAAATATCAGATTTGAGGAATTTGCTGCCAAATGACTGTATTGGTGCCAGAGCTGTGATCAGAAGCTAATCTGAGAGCACCAAAGTCGACAAATGTTAGATTGCTGCCAACTGACCGCATCCGCGCCAGGGTTGCGACAAATATTAGATTGAAGCATTTGGTCCTTTGCCCCTAAATGAGTCTGCATTAATGCATAGTTCAGGTCCTCTTGATACGACCCTTGGCTTTTATTATGCCCTTCCGATCACCTAAAGGTAACCAGAGCCAGGTTAATGACAGAGAATGATTGACAAATCAAAACAATTGAAACATAAGACAGATGCAAACAGTCGAACATCCAATGACATCTTTAGTACAACAAATTAAGCTTAACGAGCCCATGCACGGAATGAATGACTCTTCCTGACGGCCGGACTAGGTAACGACTAAATCTTATCAAGAGCCTGGTCACCTACCTACCTGATGCCAATAAATAACAAATGCCTAACAGAATTTCCAGTGGTTATTGCAGTTCACACACGTTACAAATGTAGTCATAGGTTCATCAGCACTCCGAGTCTGCAGCTGATAGTAAGTGGTTTCCCGCTTCCCACATCTACCACATTTAAATGCGTTAGTACTGGCCTTTGCAGAATTTTCACGCCCACATTCAAACAGTGCTTTTTCTTTAATTTTCTCATTCTGCTTTTGTCTTGCATCACTTGCCATGTCTTCCGCACTCAGATAAACAATTGAATTAGGTGGAAATTGCCCCAGGAGGACTTTTCTCCGGAAATCTGGGTTGTTTGGATCCTTAATATTGAAACATATGGACCTATACTTGGCTTTGTGGGCACCAGTAGATCTGCCCCACTTTTCAAACATTGCGCTCTCCACCATCGTAGCAACACGATAAGGATCGCATGCATCAACTTCTTCTCTGAGATCCTCATCAACCTCAGTAGTGACCTTGCACAAGGCCTCTGCAACGATCTCACGCATTTTGTCCCTGACTTGGTCCTTTGTATAAAGGAGTGAAGTCAGCTTGGGAGCCGTATTTCTCATGTCAGAATTTGGCTTCTCTTCTATTGTTATCCTTTCAACATTCATGCGCTCTCCAGAAGAAACCTTTCCATCCTCCTCAACCTTTACCTCAGTTGAGGAAGTTTCTAATTTCATTGCCTTTTCAGAAGTAGAAGAGAAAGAGCGATCAACTCTCTCAACTTTAACAGAACTAGCTGTTGACGCCTTCTCAACCTTCACAGAGCTCACTCTCTGGAACCTTTTGTCACTAACAGAATCTGCGCCTGTAGGCTCAGCTTTTACAGAACCCTCAAGTTTGATGGAGTTCACTCTCCCCACCTTCGTCCGCTCACCAGAATCTGCACCTCCAGGTTCAGCTTTTACAGAACCCTCATGCTCAACGTTCCCATTCTTCCTATTCTTGGCTGTTTCTTTGACAATAATACCCTTCCACATCTCAACCACATCAGAAGCCATACTCTGAATACTCTTCCTTGGATGTTTTGTCAGTTGCCGAAGACGTTTTCCAACCTGAAATATATTTCAATTGTGTGACAGTAGATGAAACATTTAACCAGGAAAAAAGAAGAAGAGGGGGGGGGGGAGGGGGAAGAGAGCACGCTAGATTACATTTCTACTGTACAACTAGATCAAAAGGCAGACACTAGCATTTAATTACACAAATAGAAGTCAGCAAGAATCAAATACCTATTCAGATCTTTTTCTAGTGATGCATGATCATTCTATTTGTATTTTTCTTTTCATTTTCAGAAAGTAAGAATAGAATTCCAAGTCCTCCTAATACAAAAGGTCTTCACTTCTAAAATCAGTTACTCTCTAACTGGGACCCCAAAGCTCTTGAACTAAGACCAATGAATGCATGATCAGAGTCAACAGCTACAGAAGATAAATCTGTTTCCAAGTTCCTTTTCCCCCAAAAAGGTCAAGCAAAATAATGAAGGGAAAACATGCTTAGATGTGGATTACTTCCAACACCATTTACTCCACAAGAACAACTTTATTAAGAATAACACCACATTTTCTTTGTTTTTCGTATCACCAGACTACCATAATTGAGACATGATACACCAGCAACAGAACAAAACAAATGAGTACTAGTAGTTCTTAATAAGTAGTACCAGTAATTGGGATGATAGTTAGAGTATAAGCTGATATGTGTAAACTACTCGAAAAACATTACAAGCGGCATAAGGTATGACTTGACTGTAGAAGAAAGTCCACATTTATTTGAAGTTCCAGTTGTCGCCCCATTAACAATGGGTTCGTACAAATCCTGCTTTAAATTTCAAAAAGCACATGAAGAAGAAAAGGGAATTTATGAGTATAACACAGACAATCGAAGTGCTCTTTTGCCATGACAACTAGTAGACTCAACACCTTGTGATAACTATCTCCACAATTTAGTCCTCGTCTAATATGAAATTAGCTCTTCAAGCAAGCGTTGTCATGGCAAAAGACCCCTTCTACTGAAATGTTCTTTTGCCATGACAACTAGTAGACTTTGACATCTTGTGATAACTCATCTCCACAGCTAGGTTAAACCTCTTCACGAAAACAATGTCATCCTAAAATTGCAAAGTCAGATTATCCTATCAAAAACTAAAAACATGTCATGCACAAAGTCAAAAACCTCAGCTTTTTTCCAGGCAGAACAAAAGTTTTGCACTCTGGCACTTGCCTAAAACAAGGGTCAAAGTAAAAGACCACCTGCAAATAAGGTAGTGATGCCTCTTGGAGAGGATAAAGCTTTGTGCAGTAAAAGCAAAGAGGATTATGCTCCTCACAATGCTTCATGTACATTAAGAAGAGTATCCGCTGGTATCAATACAAAGCCAAAAAACAGGTCTGGTTGATTAGAATAGTATGTGAATCAGTCACTGAAAAGGTATCTGGCTGGCTTACAAATAAGGGCAGCTATCATCAGAGAATAAAAGAGTATTATTTTCTTGAAAAAAGTAGCTTATTTCAACCAACAAGCTATCAGAGAATAAAGGAGAATCATTTACTTGAAAAACAACAACATATTGCAACCAACAATTAACCACGACGGCATTGCAAACAGCCTGAAATATGGAGGCATAAACAAGTTCAAGTTGTTCATGCAAAATGCAGCGCAACATGTTTGCTCAAGTTTCAATCTTTAAATGTCCATCTCTCTGAGAAAACCAAAAGTTCTATCAAAGACTATGAAAAAGCAAATAGGAAAGGAAAATTTGGAAAAAAGAAAAAGAAAAAAAGAATGAACTTTTATAAATAAAAAATTGCAAATTCGAAAATCAAACAGAGGGAACTCTTCAACTCCGAATCTGAGAAACAACTAATTCATACACGTACATACGAACACAAAATAAATATGCAGATTCAAAATATAATACTCCTCAAAAAGATGTAGAATAACTTTAGAGTACCTGCGTTGAGACGAGGATATCATAATTAATGGGGAGCTTCTTTAGCCGCTTGAGGGCGTCGAGACAACGACTCTCCTCCGGAGAGGAATCTGCTCCGCCATCAGCTGACGCAGCGTCCGCCGCTTTCTTAGCCTTCTCAAACAGCTCAACCAATTCCTTCTCCATCACCTCTCCTCAATCTATTCAGATAACAAATAAAAATAAAAAGCGACTTGATCCACGTTCTTAGCAAAAACTTTGGAAAGGACCTAGAAGAAAAACTCTCCGTTTTTTACCGAGAGAGAATGAGATACGATTATAAAGAATAGAGAACATAAGTTATGGAATTGAACCTGAGAGATGCAGAATCAATTGGAAATCAGAAAATTGCAGCAGCGGCAGCAGCTAATTGCATTAGTGAATAAATAGTTCAAAGTCGGCCGCAATCGGAAACCTAATTAAAAGTTTCTGGGAAGAGGTCAAACAGTTTCGGAAGGCTGATATGGATGGACAGATAACCGAGGGTACTGGACTGGCACGTGTGAGTCGATCGGACGGTCTGGTGTTGGGGAGGGAAAATCTTCATCAGCGGTTTGGGATTTACGCGCGCCTCATCAGGTTGTCGGGTGCGATTGGAAGTTGTGACAAATTAGGACCTCTCTCTCTCTCTCTCTCTCTCGCTATTCTAGTCTAGTACTACTACCAAAACCATTGGTGGGTAGAAGTAGAATAGGATTTAGAAGAGAGAGAGAATTAGAAAATGACGGCTACTACTTAAAAAGCTGGGGATTGGAAGTTGGAATTGTTCCTTCCAAAGGGAAGAGTCCAGAAGGTTCCGTTGTTTTTGGAGACAAAAAATTTATTTATGCCGGATCATGTAAATCCTCGCGGTGTGATAAATCATTTTGATCATGTAAATGGTAAGTATTATGAGCAAATAAAACAAAGAACCTGTTAGAAAATGCATGTCTAATCATTTTAAAAAATATAGAATAAAACAATAAAATAGATACCCATAATTTATATTTTTTTTAAGGTTCAAAATATTTAAAATCAAGATAGAAAATCGGTTGAGAACAACAGTTGATGGCAGGTGCAGTCTGGGTTGGATACCATTCACAACGCCGCGCAAGTAAAGGCAGATTATTTGGGCCCTGCGGGTCGCAAAGAACAAGTATTAAGGAC